ACCGCGTAGCTGTGTGTGTGTGTGTGTGCGTGTGTGCGCACGCCTGCCCGTGCGTGTCTATATTTGCGCATTGGATGACACCCCGTCCCAGCAGGTGGACGCTGCGGAGCTGCATCGTTTACCTTCCAAATGAGCGGCACTTGTTAAATTCAAATAGAGGTGTGGAGAGCGATGGATGGATGAGAGGGAGCGGGTGGGTGGCGGGATACAGCAAACAACAGAGCAGAAGTAGGGGAAGCACACAGGCGCGTGAGTCATCCCTCCAGGTGCCCCTGGGCAGCGCGGGCGCACAAAGGAAGGAGCCTAAATGCCAGATTGTCAGGCAAATGATCCCCGACCGTTGGGCTGGTTCCTGCCCTGGCTGCCCCTCCCCGATTAATGCGGCTCCCGGTGTTTTCGCTAGAAGTTTATCAATCGCGGTTTTTTTTTGACCATAAGCTGCTGGGGAGGCGCCGCACCCTGCATTTCCAGGACGCCTTGGCTGTCTTGGCTTGGCGCTCATGTGGGATGTCGGTAGATTTGCTGGTACTTTAGTCCTTTTTTTCCCCCCCAGATCGTACGCATGGATGAGTGACACGGTGGGGAGGGGCAGTCTCAAAGTGATAAATAAGTAGGATTTTCGAGAAAGAGTTCGACCTGATGGTCTCCATTAAAACACAGAGCTGACTTTGTAATGGTTAAAGATTTTAGGAAAGTACGTGTCAGTGTGCGCTGTTACGGCAGCACCTATCTGTCGCTGCAGCCATCCCTGGCTGGTACTGAGATAAGAGCCCAACCCCGGCTGCATCTCCTGGGTATCCTTGTCCTAATTCAGAGCAGCCCACCACCCCCACTTCCCAGACCCTATTTAGTGGCAGACTGTTCCCAGATGTGCAGTAGGAAACTGCTTCTGTTATAAATGTACTGATCCGTTAACACTACCCGCTAGTGCGTAAATGATTAAGGCATCGCGCTTTTTTTGTCATTACCTCCTTTATAAGGTATATTGATATTCATATACTATAATAAGGTGAAAACACTAATATGTCACATCGCTTTTCATGCATTCATTCGTTCGATCTTACATTATTTTTTAGGTCAATACTTATTATAATTTTCACGGATTTCAGTTTTATTTTATACCACTAGATAAGAAATGGAAGTCATCAGAATTATAGCCACGGAGCCTTGAGCGTAGTTAAGGACATGCACTGTTTTTCAATCACACACAACCTGGGCGAAACTATAAATTAAACTGAAGTAAAGGGGACTTAAAACCTCCTGAAATAAAACGGACAAGAGGGTATCATTTGTAGGGTTTTGTCGCCCTCTTATGGCGTAATTGAGGAAATGATAAAACATGGCGAAGTTGAAGATACTTCGGTAGAAAATTTAATTTGACTAGACAATTGATGTTAACTATTCTAGTAAAATGATCAATAATACTTTTATGGTGTTATACAGAAAGTACATTATGTTCTGTGTATTTGTGGAGTTTCCATGTTGTTTTCTGTTCTCCTTGGGTCTTGTCTGGGTTCCCCAGTTTCCTCCCTTTCCACCCGGTCGAGAGTCATCTGGTTGGTGTTTATAAGTTTCCCTTTGTGTGTGTGTGTGTCTGTGTGTGTGTGTTTGGGGGGCAAGCATCCCATCCTGGGTGTCCCCTGCCATCTCCATTGCCCCCGGGCACATCTTCCTGGCTCATTACAAACCTGAACTGGATAAAAGTTTATGGGATGTGACTGAATTTGTGTCTATCTGTCAACAAAAAAATATATCCTGAATATAGGTCTGAGCGCCTTCATGCATGCGCTGTCCTTTGCCTCGCACGCTTACATGAAGGGCCACACTGCTTAGAGGAAACCTCAAGTAAACTGCAGAGGCTGCCTTAAAAGTGCTAGTGGTCTTTTTTCGTATTTACCTTCCTGACACTGTGGTGTAGATGCAGAGCTGTGTGGTTTGCTCTGGTGATGCTTTGCAAATGATGGTGTGTAAGGACTGTCCTTTGAGAAATGTTTAAGTCCACCAATACCCCTCCCCGTCCTGTTTTTCCTTTAATTAGTCTGAAGAAAGTGTTAAGAGATTAACAGAGGTGGTGAAAGGGCAAATTGTTAGTGTTACTGTCTGTAGTGTAAATCCAGGTTATGGTTTTTTGGTAAAGGAGGTTTCTGTGTGTAGTCAAGTGAAGCTTGTAGTGATGCAAATGTTAATGAAAAATGGCTTTTAAAAACTTTTGATTTTGGACAGCTCAGGCTCTACTCCCTCTCAGTACCATGGACAGCGGTACTGCTGAACACGGTTCTGTCCTGCAATCCAAAGCTGTGGCCTGAATTGGCAGAACTGCAACGCTGGAGTTTTTCTTTTCTTTTCTTTTTAATCCAGTAGGTACCTCCGTTCCTGCAGACACATTTCTGTCAGGCTTTCAGCATTCGAAAATATTTCATTCAAGCGTCCATTAACTTCATCCTAGCCAGTAAAATGAACGTTCAGTAATGTGTTAGACAGTAATAGCGTGTGGACTGCTGTACCTGGAAAGAAACGGAGCTCATGTAATCTGTCATGTGATATTTAATAGCTCGGTATGGGTACCTGCAGTAAAATTTACACATGTATTGAAACATCCATCCATCCATCCATCCATCCATTTTCTGCTGCTTATCCAGGGTTGGGTCACGGAGGCAGCAGTATAAGCAGGGATGCCCAGACCTCCCTCTCACCAGCCACCTCCTCCAGCATCACCAGGAGGAGTACCAAGGAGTTCCCAGGCCAGCGAGAGATATAATCGGGACCTCCTCCCGGTTGGACATGCCTGAAACACCTCCCCAGGGAGCCGTCCAGGGGGCATCCTAGACAGATGTCCATATCACCTCAACTGGCTCCTTTTGATGTGGTGGACCAGTGGCTCTCCTTTGAGCCCCTCCTGAATGTCCGAGCTCCTCACCCTATCCCTAAGGCTGAGCCCAGTCACCTTGCAGAGGAAACTCATTTCTGCTACTTGTATCCGCGATCTCATTCTTTCGTTCACTACCAAGTGCTCATGATCATAGGTGAGGGTTGGAGCGTAGATCGACCGGTAAATCGAGAGCTTCTCCTTCTGCTCCCTCACCACGACAGAACAGGACAATGTCCACATTACTAGGAAAGCTGCACCGATCCACCTGTCCATCTCCCGCTCCTTTCTTCCCTCATCCATGACCAAGACCCCGAGATACTTAAACTCCTCCGCTTGAGATACCAACTCATCCCCCACCAGGAGAGGACAATCCACCCTTTTCCAGTCGAGAACCTTGGCCTCAGACTTGGTGGTGCTGATTCTTGTCCCGGTCGCGTCACACTCAGCCGCAAGCCGCCCCAGTGCCTGCTGCATGATACCAACAGGACCTCATCATCTGCAAAAAGCAAAGACGCGATCCCGAGGCCCCCAAACCGGACTCTCGCTGCAACTTGGCTATGCCTAGAAATTCTGTCCGTGAAAGTCATGAAGAGAATCGGTGGCAGCAGAATTGGTGAAACGTTATGAATCAAAATGACACAACCTGAGGTTGAATGTAATAAATGACAAGTTTATTGTTGCACAAAATGTACAAAATAACAAGCAAATGGACACTCTCTTCTCTGTTCCGTTCGTCAATATGAAGTTATAAATCCAAAGTGTGTGACTAAGTCCGAAGGTCCAAGCCAAACGCATGGGAGAGACGACATATACCCAATCCAGATTCACTGAACAAGAAAAGTGATTAAAAACACGGTATTTACACGTCAGAACTTACAACATGCCATCTATATATTTATACAGTATATGCATGTACACATACCTGTATTTAAAATATATGTTATAAGATCAAATTAAATTAGACTTTCTAAGGGCTATGGACATCCACAGTACAGAAATGCTTGTCTCCTTTGAATTTATTATTAATATCATCATAATTTTATTTCCTTGTGGATTTATCTTCGCTGCTTGCCTCATACTAAAAGGTAGACTCTTTAGTAGATCATAAGCACACTATTTCCATTTCCGATCCAGTTTACGTACATGTCTGCCACGGAATGCTTTTGCTCCTCCATCCCCTGTTTCCAATACTGCCCCCTACTGGTGGGTGTTAAGCCTTGCCCTGGTCTCCATCTGTGCCTGCAGCCCCAGAATGAGGAGGGCGTTGCTAATCTGCTCCATGTCTTCCTGTTGCCATCAAAATACATTTGATTTTCCAAGATGGCTACTGGCGATCTGAATGACCTGACATGTCATATGAATTATTCCAGCATTCCAGGCTGAACGATGTTTATTTTGGCACAGCTTGTGGCCCGATTTAACTAATGATGTCGTTAATGTTGGTGCAATGATGGGTAACCATTGCAGTTGGGGATATGGGCCAGCAGGTGGCATAGTAGAGAGCAGGATGTGCATTCAGGGAGTGGAGGGGAATTGTAGATTCGTACCCCCCGAAAATATGACTGCAGCTACATGAACAGCCTCAGCACACATCCTGCTGGAGAAATGTGTGGCACACCCACCAGCTGGGGGGGGGAAGGAGGACAGAATAGAAGCATCTGAGATGAAGGAACGTGAGGGGGGGGGGGGGGGGGGGAAGGAGGACAGAATAGAAGCATCTGAGATGAAGGAACGTGACCAGCAGTGGTGGGACTCCAAGGTGGTGGAATCCAGTGGAATGCCTCTATACCTATGACCCGCCCACATGCCGACGATCTCTGCCATTCATTTAGCCTTAAGTGTAGTAGCACCGTTGGAAGTTCCTCTTGAAGAAGTTTAAGGAAGGAGTGCAGACCCAGACACGGAAGGTGCAGGGTGACATTCTGATATTCTTCGGTTCACTGTGTTCATGCGCTCAGTCTGATCGCAACCTTCTTTTTTTGTTTGGTAAAGGCCTTAAGGAGATTATTACTGCCGTAAACATGTTCTTGCACAAGAAAATGGAAAGAAAAAACCAGAGCACTTAACCGGAATTGTATTCAAACTCCATACAAGATCATTAATCAAGTTTAAAGTGTGCTTTTATCATACAAACAGCAGTTTATAGCAGTTCACTGGATTAGGTCATTTTTTTTTTTTGTAATACCCAGAAAATAGTTTCTTGCGTCTAACATTGTCTAACAATGTCATAACACAGGCTTCCTTTTACAAAACGCAAAATCTGATATTTATATATTTGACTGTCCTGTCCTGTCTGCATCGATGCGAAAAATCAGCTGGAGAGACTGTGGCCCTGTTGGACATCTGTCTTCTGTACCAAGTAAGGAAAGCGCGCCAGCCAATCGGCATGAAGCACTACCAATGGCGGCCGAGGATTATGGGTAAGATGAGGCCATGATACCAAATCAAATGAAATCAGAATGCAGGTAAGTAGGATTTGACTGTACACTTCATTTCTCGCCTTTTTTATTTTTTGCCTTTACAGTGAAATGATAGTGATGGCATTGATTTCTTAACGAGTGCAAAAATACTTTTCTTAAATTGGAATATGGACTTTCGTTTTCCATTTCTTAACCTTAAAATTTCTAATATAATTTCTCTTCTTTTGTCCTATTTATGTCATACACTGTGTTTTTTATGTTTTCACTTTAATATATATCTCTATTTTTTTGTTTCTTTTTTGTATAAAATGAGAGACATGGAGATGAGCAGTTGACAATATATATATATATTGACAACAAGATATTGACACGAATGGTTCTGCATGTCGTTCATGTAACCTAAGGGGCCTCAGAGTTTGGGTCGCGCCCGTAACCTCTTCCCAGCCCTCCTCTTTCCCTCGACAGTCTCCCCTCTTTCTCTCCTCAACATCGATCCCGTGCTCACCCCCCTCTCCCTTCCCCCCCGCACTCATTGCAGCATGGCTCTGATTTGTTTGGAGGTGCTATCGTCATTTAGGTGCCTCGTCGTGTACCTGCAGGACAGGATACCAGTGTTAGCTTCAAACTTTTTAAAAAAATGATTTAACTTTTTTTGTATGAGATTAACAGAAAGTCCAATAATGGGTGTGCATCCCCCCCCCCTCCCCAGCACCCCCACTCACTTCAAAGCATTTAGAAGCCCTTCCACGCTGTTGGAATCTTGCTCTTTCAACACCTTGATGCAGCCTTTCATCTGTAGGGGTCAACAAAGGTATCCTTGTGGAGTACTTTACAGGAAAGGTCACCCTCCTGTTAACCTGACCCCCCCCCATGGCCGCTCTGAGGATCACACCCCCCTCTTCACCTGTGCCCATGCAAACACAGACCGCCCATCACCCCTTGTCAAGGCCAAACCTCATTTTGTTTCTTTAGCTGACTAACAGTTAGTCCTTAATGATGTCAAGCTGGTGTAATCTTGTGTGATGTTTAATTTGCTGTGTGAACATGTGAGTCCGCAAAACAGGCCAATTAATTGTTCAGCAACATTTTATATGTAGAGCAGAGGCTAATTATTCAGTTTTTCAATTAGTACAAAGTGGCCCTTTGGGATGCGCAGTGGTTCTGATCCATCTACTCCATGGAAGCATGTTTTCTACCTAACCTCAATTCTGTTTGCTTTAATGGGCTTGGGGAGGGGGTGTTGCTTGCAGAATTATCTTTTATTTTGATGGAACATGCGAACAGGTGCTTACATCGATCTTGGAGGTCTTGGCAAAGGCGCCCACTGGATGGACGTGGTCATAGAGAATGATGACGCCCACCATGACCCGCATGCAGAAGAGCATGGTGTCCGTGTTGGTGAAACGGCAGCGATACTCCCTACAGACAGACAGACAAGAGTGGTTAGAAGTGATGGACAAAATGACACTTCATGAACCATTTGCTGTATTTTTTTACCCACTAGATGGCGCTCTCTGTTCAAAAAAAGGCACAAAGCATCCCCCATAGTAAACCAAAAGCACCATCTAATGACACATGTCTTGGCCAGGCCAGAAGCTTCTGCGCCGGACAGCTCTAATCCTCTTTCCTGAAATGTGCTTGCACACATTTGACTGTATATTGTGTAGACAAAGGCCGTCTCTGCATGTGCAGGTCGTGGGTAATTACCTGATTCAGATGTGAATAGTGGTGATAAGTGCATTTGCAATACAAGAAGTTAGAGTAGCTTGAAAGTGACTGGAAGCTGATGTCTTTTATCTGGATGCAGGCTTTTTCAGAGCTGAGACTGAGGGAGCTCTTTGATTATCTGGCAGTGGGGAAGTTATTGCATTTCGTTTCGGAAACTCACGGCGTCTCCAGCATGACTCGGCACACGCAGGCCATGGTGCTCAAGCAGTCCGTTGTGTCTTCGATTGGCAGCGTTTTGTTCTGAAATGAGTTAGTACAATTCACGTCCACCAGAGGGAGACAAAACTCATTAAAAAAAAAAAACAGCCATGTAAATGAATTGCCTGCAATAACAGCATTTGAAGCTATTTTGTGTAAATCTCACACAATGCACCTGTAATGTGCCATCCTACTGTCCTGTTTCAGAAAGTGCAAATGGATAAAAAGGGAAACTTTGATTGCATTTCTGGTGAAGCACCATTGTTTCTGAGAGAATGCTGCATCTGTTTCATCCCTTTGATTGCTATATGGATCCTTAAATCTGTAAAGTAACATTGAGGAGAAGCTCGGCTGAAGCTCGCTGAGTTACAGTCCAATGAGAACAGCATGTCCTGGGATGCCACAGCGCCTGAGTCTGGGTTGGGCTGCCTTCACAAGGTGCTACTAACCCCACCCATGTCCGCTGGGCAACTAACTCTTGTTCTGGTGACCGTTTCTTTATTGCTGAATCAAAGATTCATAAAACAAAGAGTCACACCCTCTGTCTGAATGCATGCAGGACTAGGCACTTGAGCAATAATATTAATAATGTTGAGGATATTGCTTGTCAGCTGCATCCTCGCAGTTGCTAGGGTAGAAGCTAGGCTCTGCTCGGTTGCCATGGCATTCACAGCCTCACTGCTTTTTTCTTTGCATGGGTGGCAGGGGAAAGGCGAATGTAGGCCGGCTCTGGCGAGAGCTCACCTCTGACACGAATTTGGTGGTGGCATTGCTGAGTGTCTTCAGCATGGGCGTGGCCTCTGCATAGAACAGCGACATCCGATTGGCCATCTCATTGTTCACCTCATTTTCGGCATCCAGCTGAGTCAGGGAGGACAGATATCTCAAGGTTAGGGGAGAGGCATAGCCATTGTTAGCAATCATGCTTTGGGAAACGTATCCCGATGTATATATGATTTGGTACGTGCCGCAGATACAGGCCTACCTGCTGGTTATTTAACCGGTTCCTGCTGATGGTCCTCCTGTAATAGCTGAAATCATTTTGGATGGCTGGGTTGGTCATCTGCAAGGAGGAAAAAAGAGGCTTTGGTCTAGAGAGCCAAGCGTGGATGGATGTTTGGATGGATGGATGTTTGGATGGATGGGTCAGAGCCCGGGGGTATTTTGTGGCTGGGGCACTGGTATGCAAAGCTTCTTTGTCAGTAAGTTACTGGCCAGGCCGATTTTGTGCCCTAAAGTCACAGGCACTGAAAATTAAACTCGCCCACTCATCTGAGGTGAGTCATTTAGATGAAGGGCGAGTACAAAAACCTGAACACTAGTCTGCAGGCTGGTAAAAAAGAAAAAAAATTTGCACGTCAGAGTGCATTATTTAGTGCGCTAGCACCGTTGGGTAGTGGCATGTGGGTGTCCTGTCAAAATGGCGCCCACCGCCCCAGAAAGGGAGTTGGCACCTTGGCACAGCCCAGCTTGTGGATTCAGAGGCACACGTTGGGTTCTGGGCACTTTGAGGTGGGTCAGCAGGATTGGGTGACACTGTGCCGGTGGATTTACAAGGTGGGACCAGATGGACTTGGATTTGATACTGAATGCTATATTCTGTGCCTTGAAGTTAATATGTTAAAAATACCAACAGACAGCAACAGTGAACCCAGCACAGACCCAGACTGCCGGCGGTGGCGGGGGGGGTTGGGTGCAGCGTGTAGTGTGCTGGACCTGCCTGAACACCAGCCATTTTCTCTGAACTATCTAATGAGATCTTGCGCGTGAGCTTTACAGATACTGAGTGCCGTCTTTTAACCTTTGAACACCTACCTCAAAAATCCTCTGTGCAGCCCTGCAGGACTGAAACAATCCACGTACCTCTGACATCCATCAGAGCCCTTCTGTTGCTTTATTATGGGCTTTAACTAAGCCATGGTCAGCTATGTGATTCAGTCAGACACTGGAGTATTCAAACTGATTTCCAGACAGAAATCCCGAAGCGATGGATTCCCAGTTTTGCTGTTTAAACGAGCACTCCAAACCAAGCGCTAATATGCCAGGTTGAATGCGTGGTCGCAGGCACTGCCGGGATTAGCTTCGGCATTAGCTGAGCGACAGCGGGTCTGCTGGTAGAGGGACAGGAGCTGGAGGCCCGCCCCTAAATGACTCCCCCCCCCCCCCCAGTCTCACCTTCAGCTCGTCGAAGCTGAGCGTGAAGTGAAGGATCTCAGCAAACTGCTTTGCCAGAGCCTGCTCACGCTCCAGATGCTGCATGGGGGCGTACGGCGGGCTCGTCAGCGCCTCCAGCAGGCTGCGCAGTGCGTTCTCTGCAACGGACACACACGGGGGAAAAAAATGACCACGAATGTCCCTAATTCACTCCTTCCAGTCCTGTATTTTTGCATGACCCTCCCTCCCAGTACAAACCCAGCACAAACGTCCCTCCCTCCTCCTCTTGTTTGTATAGTTCTTATGTTCTTATGTTCTTATGTTCTTAGTACAACCCCTGATGATACACCGTGATATCGTGGCAAAAAGCAACTCTGAATATTATACTTCTCTGCTGCCTTGTAATTAATTCTGGCTTCCCCGTGCTTCGATTTCCCCTTTCATATCCTCTAGAAAGCGATTTGTGACAAACAGCTTGTGAAAACATATTAGAAATGATGAATCGTTGCTGAGTAGCAGTCTTGGGGCTTCCGGGTTTCTGTTTCTCCTACACAAAGGCCAGATAATGACAGTCTGAATGACAGTGTGCTTTATATCCAATTGGCCGCACCGGACCGAAGGCTCCAGGCTGGGGCTGCTGTGTGGATTGAAGTTGCTGATTTCAACACAGCAGTACAGAAGTACAGGATAAAACCAGGCGCCTCCCAAATCATCTCCAGGCTGTTGTGTCTGCATGGTCCTGATGTTAAGATCAGATATATCGCTGATGGCCCACTGGAACCTGCATATGCTGCCCTCTCACCCTATGCCGCAGCCCATGGATATGAGAAGGTACAGCAGTACAAGGAGTATCGACTCCATGGGTGCTGGGGGGCAGCTTTTGTTTCCGGCGGCACCTATATCCTGGCGTTAAAAAGTCTAGGTAAGCTTGGCGGATTGTGACAGCAGATCTACCCAAGTGAGGTGGCTGTCATGGCGCCATTTGACAAGCCCACGATCACCTGCCTCAGAGGACGGGATGTGTGTGGGTCCCGCCCACCACAAATGTGAAAATTACAAAAGTAGAAATGACATATATAACATATATAATATAAGACATATATAATATAAGAGGCCCGGGATAGTGGATAGAGCTGAGAATTCTTTGCCAATTTATCTGTAAGTTGTGAAACTTTCTACAAGACCTTTCATAACTGAGGTACATTGCTGTCCACTCGCAGTCTTCATGTGCATATACTCCATTACGGTCGCTAGTGGCTCAGCAGATACGCTAACCCAAAGTTACCTATCTAAACCAGTGGGGGTTAGTGATGTAACCATCTGCTGCTGCCCTGTAAGGTATCCATACCCACATTCCCACGCTGAGGTGAGACGTGGTGATGGTAATATAGGTCAGGCCCCCAGGGAAGCATCCCACCCCCTCATAAAACATGCAGGATTGGGTCTATAAATAATGTATTTTATATATTCAATGGCCTTTAGGGCGACTTGTAGACCACAATCCCTGTGGAAAGGCAGCAGGAGCTATTCTAGGATTTTTTAAGGTTGGGGGGGCACAAGAGGGCCCATAATTTATATGGAGGGGCCAAATTTATTGTTAGCCAATGATGTGTTTTGAATCAGTGAGTGACAGGGATGGGAGCCCTTCGGGGGCCAATCAGCTTTCATCTGGGGCCGGTGCCTCTGTAGCCCCGCCCCTGGCGCAGAGAGCCACTCTCTCAGGTCTGCCATTGTTTACTGTTGAGTCACAAGATCTAGTGGCACGACGGTCCCAAAAATGGGCACAGGAGAAACACCTGATTCCGTCAGCAGCCCTCCTGCCTCCGAGAACCACGGCCTCGACTATTCCGCAGCTTAGACTGCTTTTAATCAGAAGGTGAGCTGCCCCCTGAGGCTTAACATACCCAGTCTGAGGGAGAATTCGTAGAAGCGCTTCAGCTTGGCCACCAGGGGGCACACTGCATTCCAGGCCTTCTCCTGCAGCTGTAGGTCACTTGGGTTCTGAATGGCCTAGAAAATGACACATGGCTTGAGCAGGAAAAATACACTGTGATGGATTCGACGCTAGTATGTTCCTCAGCCGCGTGGGTCGAAAATATTTCAGTGCCACATTTTTAGTTTCCCTGGTGCTTTTGATTTTTCTTTTCTTTTTTGTAGCTGAACTGTCTTTGATCTCTAAGGTCAGTTTAATGGGAAGATATCAAAACGAATATCTCTTGATTTTGAAAATGAAACGTGTCGGTAACTGATCTGCGATTTTATTCATTCAGTTACCCACTTTGTATGTAGGTGCCTCCTTCTCATCTTGTACGGAGGTGACGATGTTCCTGTATGTACATGTGTAGTAGGAGCTTTCATCATCAGAAAGCATCTCATGTCCCTAAAGCATTTGGGATTGAGAAGGGCCTTTCTCATGCGTCCAACAGTGAGGTGGCTACTCTGCTGGGATTTGAACCCAAGACCTTCTGGACGTGAGCATGGATCTTAAATCAACTGAGCGGTACACCGCCCTATAGTGGATAAATCACACCTAAAATGTGACTTGAATTGACTCGGGGGGGGTAGCGCCTTGTTCCTGGGGGGGCATGTTGGGCGTAGCTGTGATGAAGGGGTGCGCGCTCACCTCTCGTATCTCCTGGCCCGCTCCGTTATAGGACTGCAGCTCTGCCAGGATGCCGTGGGCCTCCTCCAGCACAGCGCTGACCTGGTTCCACACTGCCGTCTCCGCCTCTGTGGGTTGGGCATCTGGACGGGGGCGGGGTGGGGGGAGGGGGGCGTGTTGAAGAGATGTGAGGGCCAGCCAGCGTACGCGCTCCATCTCTGAGCAACCGGCACCAGAATTCAGGGCACGGGTCATGCGTCCCGTGTGTGTGGGTGTGAGTGTGTGTTTTGCCAGGAGGGGGTGGGGTGAGACTTGAGAACAGTGCCAGGGGTTGGTCATGTGACAGTGATGTCATCTATATGCAAATGTGCCCGAATTATCTCTTTATTTTCATCTATTATGTAACAAAAGCATGTGTGTCTACGGGGATGAGGTCGTTAATTATACTGGCACAATGCAGTTAGCGCTGTAAGCTAATGATGTAACTTATTGGATAGGATGGGGGTCCCTGCTGGATCCAGGCTAGATTTAACAGGAGCGCTCTGATCACTCTTAATGGGTTAAATGGCACTCCGAGCGAGGATGGGGACGTCCCTGCAGGGGGCGGTATAATCAAAATCATAATGACATGGGTGATAAAGAGCATGGTGAAGCCCCCATGAGCCTCTGTCTATATCAATGTTAATATCTACTGCTCAGAGCACGATCTCCGGATCCATCTCTCTCTCTCTCTCTCTCTCTCTCTCTCTCTCTCTCTCTCTCTTTCTCTCGCCCTCTGACAGCCTGGTGATGATCCGCTGGGTGTCCTGCTTGCCTGTGTGAGCGTGTCTGATTATATAAAGGGTGCGGTTTTAAGGATGCATTCCTGCCTCAAAGAAATGTAAGGATTTCAGCATCAGCTGGTGCTGTGTACTTCACAAAGAAGCCATCTTATCCCAACCCTGCCCCCCATCACACTTGTAAGGCATCATGAACAGAATTGGGCTTCGCGGCACAGCTAGCGCCGTATATGGGGCGGGGCCCTCGCTGAAAGCTGATTGGCCACAGGAATGCCCCCTCTCCTGTCATTGATTCAAAGCATATCATTGGTTAATAATATGGTTAGTCTATGAATCTTGGCCCCTTTCGGAGCTTTGCATGATAAGTGCACAGGAGAAGCGGCTCTAGCGCCCTCTAGCTGCTTACAGGTGTAGCGCCGGCTGAGACCGCCGCAGGTAAATAGCTCCACCCTGCATCAGTGGACGGGAGAGTCAGCGCCAAAGGCCGGCAGGGGCCCGTGGAGGCCCGGGGGCTCCCTAGCTGCAAACGCGCCCAATTCTGTTCGTTCCTGCTAGGAGGCTCCATGGCAGATTAACCTCATTTTCACAAACGAGTTCACTCATTCCGGCCTCGGAGACGGGAGGCCAAGGTGACGCACTGGCCTGCTAGGGTTGCCAAGGCCTGGTCTCGGAAGATCGATCCCAATAATTCTGGAAACTCTGTTTGCTATTCCCCAGTTTCCCCCAAATATTAGCCACCTATGATTTTATGTTATATGCCTTTACACGTCACACCCCTAAAAGCTAGGCCAATTCATCATATTATTTGAGTCTGTATATAAACTATGGATTTGCACATCTTCCAGACCAGACCTCAACACCCCTGCCTGGAAAAAGCCCATCCAGGACTGGGCAAGTTGAGTCCTCCAAGCCTACAGTGATTGTAAGTCCCTGCACCTGATGTACCAGTCGTCAACCTTCTGCTAAGCTAATCTAAGCTAGTCACAGACTTTACATAACTGAGGCTTTAGAGGACATGGATTTGCCCACCCCTGATCTGCTCTAGACAACCACAGAAGAAGAGAAGGTCCTAGTTAAGAAGCTGGAAGAGGAGTGGTTAGTTAAAGAGAACCCGGCTGTAGCTGAAGATCGAAAAGTTATTCAGAAGACGAAAGTGTCTATGTTAATCAGAGGTGTCCGACCAGAGTTTGAGAGACAGGGAAAAGAAAGGCTGGGATGGAGAGAGGAGACTCCTTCAGAGGAGAAAATAACAGCAGTGATTGTAATTTCCATTTGCAGCAGCCCGCAGAAGAGGAGCAGGTCTAAAAGGAGAGTGTAAGGTTTGGAGTAAAGGTCCAACTGAAGCCTTTTTCAGTGCTGTATGTGTGAGTTTCAAACGTTATAACAAAGTCTGTCTCCTTGATGGTGTGTCTTTGTGCACTAAGCTAGAGTTTCCCAATGTGGTCCTTGGGGACCAACTGACAGGAGCAAAAACATAGATTGTCTGAGGGGGAGTTAGGAGGGAGCAAAAATGTGGACTGTCTGAGGATCCCCAAGGACTGGATTGGGAAGCACTGCAAGCTGTGGGTGTCTGTTCAAGCACCTTGCTGTTATATATATGTTATATGGCGGGTGCAGGCTGTGGTATTTGTTTGAATAAACTTATAACGCAAAACATGTTTATTGGATTTCTCAACACATACACACCAATGTGTGTATGTTTGTTTGTGTGTGTGTGTTTCATTATGTTTGACCTCTTTGGTTGAAAAATTATATTAGATGGAAGTCAGTTGTTATTGTATGATTTTTTTTTGTGTGGGGTGGTTGTACAGTATCTGCGCTGCCTTTAGTCGAGCCTTTAGTGCACAGAGGGAAAAAATCAAGTAGCCGAACAGGTAGAGGGTGAGGAAGGGAGCGATGAAGAGGTACGCCGATAGATAAGAAGTCAGTGGTCTCACGTTCAAAGTCAAGGAAAACTATTTGGCCGTGCTCGAGGTCGGTGCAGGCCAACACCTTCAGAAGATTCCCCATGTGTCCCCTGGAACAGAGAGAGGGAGATGCACGTGGGTGATGGGGGGTCGACGTGTGTGCACGGGGCCAGGGAGCACGCCTGGGGGGCAGGAGCGGGTGTGTGGTGATGATATCAGTAGAGGGGGCGGGGCCTAGCCTGGGGCGGGGCTTGCTCTGAGCGTTGTCGGCATGGCGACGCAAACGCACAGACACTCTCCCGTTCCTGCTCTCTCCTTCTTCTTCTTTATTGCTCCCGTTTTCCTCAGCTCATCCTTCAGATAAGGAGAGGAAATGGTCACTGGGAATTCTGGGAAATGCCAAAAAGGCCTGATGGGAACAGAAATGGGGAGGTGGGGAGCTGGCTATAAGGGGGGGGGGTCTGGGTTTATGGTCACAAGCCAGCTTTTGAAGCAGGGAGCAGCTGGAATGATCTGGAAAGAGACTGGAGAGTGTCTGATGAAACCTTAACCACCCCTGTCCCCCCGCCCCCCCCCCCCTCCCCCCGCCCCCCCCCCCCCCCCCCCCCCCCCACCCAGCCACACACACCGTATCACCTCCGAGCACCCCGCTCTCCGGCTCACACGTGCACACACACACGTACATGCACGGCAGTGCTCACTTACTTTCAAAGTCCAGGAAAAAATGTGGACAGTTTTCTAAATCCTTCCCAAGGACCTTAATGAGATTCCCCATGACCGGCAAACCTGAACAGGGAAGACAACAACAGACACATACAGTACGGAGGAGTGCGCACCTCCTACTCTTACCCCAGGTCTCTCCATCTTCTGTCTACCTGTCACTCATTCATACTGGACATCTTTATCTTCCCAGCATGTTGGGTGGATGCTATGGAGCAGTGTGTATGGCTGGAGCAGATGAATGGGGGGGTTTTAGTTTAAATTGTGCTGTTTTAATTGCACCTCCTTCCTGCGACTAACCAGCTTAGCTTTTTGATTCGTTTGTGTGATTCCGCAGCCTCCAGGACTGTGACCGTCACCTCGCTGTCATCCATGGTCTCTCTCCCGCTGCGGCTGCTCTCTGGACGGATCGGTGACACTTAAGACTCCTGCTGTTCCACCTCCTGGGCTCCATGTGACAATTTAATTACTAGGACGGGGCACCGGCTTAGCGGGTGTGACATCATCTCTTCCTTTCGCCCAATTCGCTTAGCCTGGGGCCTCCGGCCTTGGCGAGCCAATCGCGCAGCTTGCTGGGAGATTATGGCAGTTGACGTCATCGAGGACGTCAGCTCCATCACTGCTGTGGCTGTTTGTGTTTCACAGCAGCCTTACCCGCTTCAGATTGGGTCCTCTTCAGTGGGTTGAGGTTGCTGCTGTGTCATCACGAGGAAGACGGATCCCATGTAATTCCAATGTAGCAAGGACATCATTCCCAGAAGTTTCCATATATTCCTCGGTCAGTTACTTGGCACATCGGCTCAGCGAAATAGTCCTCGCTCTTTCTGCTCGAGGTTGCACAGCTCCACACCGATCTGTGTGACATAAGACTTGGTTCTGGCTGATTGTAAGATGCCTTCCTCTTTATATGGCAGCAGAGAACAGAAAAATATTGACAAACTCATCATGTTTTGAGAAATGTATCTCGTTTGTTTTCTTGTCCGCACTAAGCAGCTGAAGAATTAAAAATCAATACAGGAATACTCTATAGATGCACGTAATGCGCCCTGGCTGTGGAACCAGGACACAGTGTGTCATCTTTTGATGGCACTGTAGCAGAATCTTTCCAAGTGGGTCCAGAGCAACTGGGTTTTGAGCACTGTGTGCTGAAAAATACCACCTTGACCTTGATTTTGCATGATGGTTTGATGGTTGAGCTGGTTATATGGGCATGAACAGCTTGATAGGCTGACTACACCAGCATGACTAACTGGTGACTCACCCAGTTAAACCATCAAAGAACAGCAAGAGCTGGGACATGACCATCTAAGACCATCTTAGACCAGCTAAGACCATCCTAGATCATCTAAGACCATCTAAGACCATCTTAGACCAGCTAAGACCATCCTAGACCATCTAAGACCATCTTAGACCAGCTAAGACCAGCTACCAGCATAGGTTGGTTTTTTGCTGTTTTTTTCAACAGGGTCTCGAGATGTTTTGAGTGCGATAGAACTTTGCTGTGGTACAAGATCCGTGAAAGTAAGCGTACTAAGCAAGGCATTGCCCACCCTCTGCTCACTATTGCTGAGAAAAATATTTCAGTCTTTATGTGGTCACTTATTTTTCGTAAAATCCTGTCCTGGGTATGACCTACGCTAGCAGAGACAGCTTCAGGCTCATTAATCAGCACATTTTAAGCTGTTTTTACTCTTCATGTATCAAACATCCCTGAGGTGAAGCATTAGGACCTGTCTTCCTATTGGACAGTTTTCACAGTTAGCTTAAGTTATCCAGCTAACTAGGAAATCTTGTTTTGTGGAATACCCCTCATGTCGAGGAGCACAAATATTAGTGATTCAGCCCAGCAGTAGTGACGTATGAGGTAAACTTGGGGGTTTGTGTTACCGGCAGAATGGAAAGTTGGACTTTCTGCACCTTTTCAAAACCGACAGGTGTCTTTGAACTGAAATCTGAAAGAGACTCCGTTTTGGATGGGTCTACTGGGGAGTGTGCTCATCTTTAAGTAAAGACACATTCTTAAACGGGCTGCTGTTGACATAAGTACTGTAAATTTTATGTCTTTGTGACGATTGCCACTGAGCAGCTGGGAGCATAGTAGTCATGGACGCTGACCTAGGAGAGATGGCGTGCCCTTGAGTGAGCTGCTTAGCCTGGTTTGATATAAAAGAAAGACAAAGACCTACCCAGCTGAGTAAACGGGCAAGGCATGAAATGCTAAGCTATGTAAATCGCCGCAGATGAAAGCGCACGCTAAGCACCAAGCAGATGAATAATGCAGCGTGTGGATGATTTTCAGGCGCCGCAGCACCGGAGTCCAGGAGGGCTGGGACACCTGACAGGCCGGCGTGACAGTGTGCTAATGCGCTAGCCCACTGACGGGGGCCTGGCTGGTTAAGACACGCAGGATGTGGGGTCAGAGCTGGTGTGTGTACAACATTGAACCCCGCCACACTGAAAAGGACAAGACACATGCATATGCAGCATAATCTTGAAAAATCTCAGTGGTAAGCAGGGATGGAACTTAAATACTTTTGGCACTAGCCGACAAGGCTAGTTTAGTAAAAAGAAAAATGCAGTCCGGCAGTGGGCTAGCGTTCGGTCTTTTTGTAGTTGCCCCTCGACGAAATTACTTGTCTCCAGCCCTGGAGAGTTTAAGTCAATGCACTTTGAAATAGAAGAAATTGTACCACTGGCTCAGGTGTAAATAGCAGCACTTGGTGGAGCATTAAATAAGGATGAAATTCCAGCAGGATGCTGCTGTTGTACCTTTGGATGAGATGATACGCACAGCCCCTGTCAATATGGAATCTAAAATAGTTAGGGTGATTCCCTGATCTGCAGAGCACCCTCCCACAATGGAAAAAAGGGGGCATGTTTCACTGTAGCTGCACTACTGCTTACTGCAACATGGCAATGAGGATTCTGGGTAACTGAAAGTCAAGAAGACATTGCATGGCGGCCGTACATTGGCAGAGTTTGGGTGCTTGTGATTGACCCCAGGTGTCCCCTGCCTCGTGCTCTGTGCTTCCTAAGATAGCTTTCAGAGTCACCGTGACCCTGCATTACAGTTCCTGTAGCAGGGAGCGGAAGCTGCACCTCGCAGACGCTCGGAAGGAAGCTCAAAAAAGAACTGCAGCTGTCTGCCATGCTTGTGGACGGAACTTTCACAGAGCCTCTCAATTATGTAACCATAGCAGTCACTGTACAAAAGGCCAAAGACAAAATGCCTACCGTCCGACTCAAGCTAAACCCCCCCCCCCAGGTCAAAGGGCTGATATCTATCACTGAACGATCAGTACAGATCGTTCGCTCAGAAGCAAAACCGCATACTGCAGAAAGCGCCATCTGCGTTTGAAGTGAGTTTCACATCTTCTGCAAAAAGCATGTCACTGCCAGGGCGCTGGTTGCCTGGCAACCTGCAGAAGAGCTCAGTCAGGTTGGACCGCATGCGGCTCCAGACCTGTATATTCGCTTGACATGGAGAAGCAGCCCTGGGGAGACGGCTCTCTCACTGACGCCGCAGTTTACATTCCCGCGGACCCCGGCTTTTGAACCCTAAGCAGAAGCCACGCCCATAACAGCCCTCCGGATCAAACCAACGCGCTCATTCATTGTTCTCTCCAACTTCTGAAGGACCGCGCTCCTGACCTCTATCCATGACACGCCGACGGGAGCCGAGCTGATGGTTTGACCTGCAATGCTCTGCACCCCCTTTTTAAAACACACAAATAGGTATCTGACTCTTGCAAAAGTATCGTAGCGTCATAGCGGTTCATGCTTTGCAGGATGGTGCAGATTGCAAACGGCATAAACAGAGCATTCGGCGTGACTGTCACCCCGCCCTTATCGAATGTCGTGGACCCCCACCTTGCTGTCCTGCTCCTTGCCTGATTCTGTACACACCGCTGCCCTGCGTGCTGTCGTCTTGCTGCCGTATCATCCGTCCTCTTTCTTCCTCATCCAAGGCTCCTCTCTCTTATGCACCCGCATCCGCTGTGACGGATCCTCTGAGGTTACGCTCGCTATCCTCCCCTTTGCAGCTCATAGCCATCCACGCTTCTCTTTTTTTTTTAAGAGAAGTTTTTTTTTTGTTATTGTCGTTTGCTTGGTCGGGCTTTTTTAAAACTGAAATGCTCTGAGAGAAGCGAGAGGTCATGGGTGGGGGGGGGATGTCTTCTTGTCGTGAAAGCGCGATATCACCCACGCAAGTTCCTCAAAAAGAAAACCAAAAAATGCCAGCTCTTACTTCCTATTTTTGTTTCTCACAAATGTCGCTGACCAGGGTGGGGGTAAGGTTTCCAGTGGGGGGGGGGGGGGGTGGTTTGGTGTGCTTCCTTCCTGCTCTCTTCAGTGGCTCACACTAAAATATACAAAATATTACCAAATTAATGCTACGTGCAGCAGCAAAGGTCCCTGGATGTTTCCAGCCTGGGATCCAAATTGGGAAACGAAAGGGCTCCAGTTTCAGTCCCCGACCACGAGGGGGAGAAAGGTGCGGAGGTTCCCTTCTGTTCTCACACTTGCTTGCCATGATACTGTAGAGGAGTCTTGTTAAATGAGTGGCTTGCGCCCCCCCTGGGGACTCGTGCACCTCTGTGAATCGCTTCCTCAGTCTCCATGCTCGGTACGCTGCACAGCGAGAGGCTGACGCGAGCTAATGCTAAAGCTAGCGCTCGGTGCCGGTGAGCCCCCATTCCCCGGAGCGGGTGCTCCGCCAAGCTCGGCCCCGGCCGGGGTCCGACGCTAACATGGGGTTGCCAGGACGCCGCCAGGATTGGGGAACGTCAACCCAGGGAGCAGATTCATGCAGCGTGATGTTTGTGAAGCAAGAGAAGTTCCTAGCTCTAGCTGTGTGTGCCTGCGATCATGTGCCTACTGGCCTGCGACTGGCCACAGAAAGTGGGTGGGGTTTGGGGGGTGGGGATTAATGGCCGGCGTTTTCTTAGCTACCTTACAAGCGATATTCCTCACTGGAGCACTTCACTGCATCAACCGGAGCTGCTGGTGGAATCACAGCATCTGCTCCGTGCAACCTGAAGGATGGAAAGAGAGAGGGAGAGAGAGAGAGAGAGAGAGAGAAGAGGAGAGGCTGAGTCTAAAAATAGCATCCTCCCCCCACCTCTGTGTCCTTGCTGGAGAAAGGCCGCACGAATCCTTCTGTGACTCTGCTCCCGTGGAATTATGGGAGATAGCCGTAAGGATGTAATAAAAATAATAAACCCAGTGGACTTCCGACTGACCCGGCACCCTGACTCCCGGACCCGCCATCGCCGCACCTGGACTGTAACCATGGAAACAGGCCTTCTGTGTTTTTCCGCGGCAGCATCTCCAGGCAGCTAAAGGCATTTCTGGAAAGGAAGCGTCCACCGAATATCACCCCCCCCCCCCCCCTTCACTGCAAAACCATGACGGCACACTGCTACAGCACCAGTTCCTTGAGGGAGGGGCAGCCGGGGGAGGAGTCTGTGAAAGTGCACGTCGACGCGTCGAGAACCTACAGCCCAGCTTTATTCATGTGAGGTGATTTGCGGCTCAAAATGCTGCTCCCCTCTGATCAGGGTCTGGAAAAAGGCGACGAGGCGGAAGGATGGCAGGGAATGACATTCTCTGGGGGAGGGGCTGCATTCAAAGCCGCCTCTCCCATTATCTCCACTTCCGCTGTGACAGCGACGTAGTGCCTAATCTGAGATGGGCTGCCCTTTTGCCTGTCCGTCCCCAAACGCGTATCATATCATCTAATCGATGGCGGACTTCGGGAAAACGTTGGCTCATGGTGGATCAAATTTCGCCCAGCGCTGTGTACCCGTGCTCAGAGATCTCATCGTGAGATCGCATGGCTCAGTGCTGCTCTTAGCCAGTAGCCCTCAGTACTACCGCAGAAGGAAACTGAAAGAATATTCCAGCATGGATGGGAATCGTGCAATTCCACCTGGGTAGCAGCGTGGCCTCTTTTACTTCTTCGAGACCCTTGCAGAACCTTACCTGTCAGACCCCTCCCCTACAATGGCCCTTCTCACTGGAGTAGGACTGACACTGCCTTGTAGGAAAGTCACACTATGTATTTCACATCCTTCAGAAGGGGGCGACAGAGAGCTCTTTGGGGAGGGGCATGCCTCAGGGAGGCACGTCTACCTGAGCCCTCTGTGAGTTGAATAAATGTGGCCTCAAGAAGATATTCATGACATTCTGACTTCTCACTCGCCCAATCACATGCTACTTCACTCTCAGCCAATCAAGAGCCTTCATAATGAACCAATCAGCTTCCCTATGCAGTGCATTGTTGTTGGTGGATGGTTCAAATGAAGCTAGTTGACAATGGCTGTGAAAAATAGCGTCATGTGCATTTTATTCAATTTATTGAAATATTTTGCATAAAAAATGTTAAGCAGTGATTATTAGCGCCTTGACATGAATATATTGTTTTCTATATTTCAACTGATGGTAAAAACAACTCCTCCTTCGATCATCTTTTGTACTCCGGCACCACGATTACTGGGTCCTCCTGTTGCCACGGTAACAGGCAGCGCCATGCTCATGTGATGCTGTGGAGAGCCGAGAACAGCAAGCTACTGGGGCGGGGGGGGGGGGGGGGGGGACCATTCAGAAATACCACAACCCGTTCCTTTTGTCGGGTGGAAAAAAAAAAATCCAATTTGCGTGTGATGATTTTGCCTGGAAGTCAAAAGCTCCTGTGTTTAAAAGAGCCTGGAGTCAAACGAGTGCAGGAGATGAGAGTGCAGTGCACTGAGGCATTTAACTGCCATCCTGCCCCCCCCTCACTAAAGCGTGGAGAGATCAGCACCACTGGAGTCTATAAATCAGCAGATCCCCCCCAACAGGCCTCCCAGCACCTGAATGAGTCCCTCTGATTGGATCAATGAGCAGCGCAAGCGGTTTTGCACCGTAAATCTTCGCCCCCGTGGGTTTACAGCACAAGCAGAGGGCAGATGCGCCAACTCCGGTGGTCACATGACCGTGGGCGGCATTTCCATTGTGGAGGACGTTGGCCAGAAGTGGCTTCTGCATTGGCTTCTTGGTAAGAAGGTCCGGTCTGGCCGGTCACGAGAAATGCCTGGCCGAATGAACTGTCTAATCGAAATAAGAAGAAATGCCGGTTTCAGTTCTTCTTTAAACAGTTGGACCCTTTTGTTGATGGTTGGAAACCTGATACATTATTTGTTTTGCTTGTCAAAGGATCTACGGCATCGATCTCTGTGCGGAACTTTCAGGAGCAGCACCCAGAATGCCCTGCTGCTGTCGTGGGGACCTGTGGGGGACGGGGGTCCTGATCCAGGTATGACAGGGACGCACTCGGCCTGCTAGCGGCTGAAGCTAGGAACCTGTACAAGACTAAACCAAGGTCCCCTTCACACGTAAGGTACATAAAGGTGCATTCAGTAACTTCAGTCCGCATGTGACGTATTGGACAGCACTGTAAGTGAAAACTGTTTAACTATCACATTATTAAAGTCTGAATTCACTATATTTGCATTTTTGTTCAAATACACCATTAAGCATTTGGAGTGATTTAAATGGCACGTTGACTCAGGCTACAGTTAATTTTTTTATGCAGACAATTTTACTTAAAGTGACATGCAATTGATAATGCAGGGTGAGCCAGTCCTTGGAGCAAATGGGGGTTAAGGGTCATGCTCATTGGTAAAAATCATTCTGTCGACTCTGGCATTTGAACCTAGGATCTTCCGATTGCAGGCATGGTGTCCTAACCCGCTGAGTTGCACAACCCCCCCAGTAGGGGGCAGCATGTGTTATACCTGTTAGCATAACAGCTAATACCACAGAGGTACATTGGCATTCCTGCCTGCAGATGTGTTTGGCTGCTACGCTGCTTCCCGTCACCAACACCAGCTAGCAACCTTTCCCTGGCAACAGTTACCATATCAACAGACCCCAATTGGGTCATAACTAGGAGAGACTGTTGTGGACAGTGAGTCAAATCCCCTCTGGATGCGGGGGGGTCTGGTGCTTTCTCAATGTCAGCCTCTCTCTTAGCCCTAATTACTGCTGGTCAACCTGCCGGCTTCATCTGGGGGAGGTATCCCCCCCCCAACCCCGCTCTATCGTCACCGCAACCTAGCAGAGATTCTGGGTCAGGGCTTGCAGCCCCGCTTCCCAAGAGGAACCCCCCCCCCCCCCCCATCAGGCTGTGGTCACCAGTGGGTAACTTTGCTCTTTGGTGAAGTAAAAAGTCCCTTTGTGCAAATGTGTATAAACGTTGCTTTTAATTAAAGCCCGATTTAAGTGAGAAAATAAGGAGAATTTTTTTTTTGATTTGTCAGCTGGGAGGTGCGGGGGCTCAGTACCTCCGGGGCTGCAGGTCTGAATCTAGGATTAGTGTGGTTGGGTGTCGGGGGTGAGTGTATGTGTCCTGAGTTGCATGTCCCTGCCCTCCCCATTGTGGTGGGTGCCCTATGTGGACATTGTGAACCATGTGAGCTGCGTTGCACAGAAGAATCTGCCGGGGAATTAAAATGATGCAAACGATATGAAATAATGTTTATGTCCCCCCCTGTCCTGCCCCCCCCACCATCCATCAGCCCTCCATGGCAATGGGAACGCAGAAGTGCTCGCACATCCCCTTCGCGCATATCGCCGAGCCTTCCTGCTGTTCCCACGGAGATGACAAAGAGCTTTATGCCCCCCTCCCCCACCCCACCTCAGCCCCCACGGCGCAGTCGAATCGAGGATAGAGCTGCATCCTGACCTGCCCCCCATGCACGTTCTCGGGTCACAGTAACCCAGAGCGGNCCCCCCATATGCCTGTGTAGTGACAGAGACCCTCCAGGTTTGAACAATTACAAAAAAAATCACCTACAAATAATCTAATGCAAACCA